CCTAGACCCAAGAGACAATAGGCCCTTAGTTCATTCATTAATTCTATTGTCAATATAAGGTGAAGTGCTCAGCTGCTAACCCAAAAGTTGGTGGTTCAAACCCACCAGTCCCTGAATAGGAGGAAGACGCGGAGTCTACTATAAAGATGACAGCCTAGGAAACCCCAGGGGAGCAGTTTTACTCTGTCCTATAGGGTCACCATGAGTCGGAATCCACTCCATGGCCAAGGGTTTTCCCTTTTTTTTTTTTGTCCGCATCTCCCATTGGGCATTAGCATTTTCTCTTCCATTTGGAGAGGCTCTCCACAGTCCCTCCCACTAGGAACCAAGCAACAACTCACTTGAAACCCGCCGCCCGATGACAGGGTCCGTCCTGTGGGGTCCTGTTCCCAGATGAGATCTCTTTCGCCATCAGATTCTTCCTGTTTGCCCTTTCACTGACCTCAGTTAATTTCTCCGTTGTCTATTAAGCCGTCCCCTCAAGGCTGTCCAGAGCTTCCGATTCCTAAAGAGCGGATTCCTCAAGATCTCTTCAATCACATTTCTTCCTTTCCTTTGCAACCTTCTCTATTATATTAACATCAGAACTCATCTATCGGAGCGTGGCCGTTTTTATCCGCAACAAATGCACCACCCACCCAACTGCCAGAAGGGTCTTTCTAAAATGCAACTTGGGTAACATCCTTTTGTCTCCCGCATGTTGCTCTCTTACATTGTCCTGAAAGCACCTCACGGTCTCACTTCCCTTTGGCATTTTGCTTCCCTCTGATTGGAATATTCTCCTCTTCTTTATCCAATGCCACCTCCTCTCAGAAGTCTTCCATGATTACCCTTTTCTACCAACTGAAAGAAATGCTGCTCTGTTACTTCAATAGCACATACGTTCTTTGATTATTTATATACCCCATATTCTAAAATTAGGTCTATATATCACATTCATATGTGTCCCTATTAAACTCCTCTTATGTACAAATATGTCTTCTCCACGGTAAGCAGGATAAGGCTACCTGCATAGCAACCCTGTAAGGGCAGAGTACAACTGCCCCGTAGGCTTTCCAAGACTGTCAACCCTTACGAAGCAGACGGTCGCATCGGTGTGCTATGGAGCAGCTGGTTAGCAGCCAACAGCTGTGCCACCATGGTTCTTTCTTAGGGGTTGGAAATGCTGGCCTTTGTCCTTTTTCAAGATGGAAACTATCCCGTAAGCTTTACATTTGGGCTCCCAGCTTAGCGTCTTCTCAATAACTGTCTACTAAATGGAACTGTCTATCACAGAGTCCCAAATGTCTGGCTCTCGTTATAGACGTTCCCTGCTCTGTTCTCCCCTCTGCCGACATCCATGAGCCATCTCCATTTGTCACCACGCCCTCTCTCATTTACTCATTTCGGTGTCGGGTTATTTTAGTCCTGATTCATGTTTTACAACTTTATTCTCAACTAAAATCCAGCTACTTGTTTCCCATTACAGATGAAATATTGTCACGAAAAGAGACACAGTTTCCAAATAAGACCCCATTTTCTATCAGCAAGAAAGCTTCATGACCCCAGTTTTTAGAACTCTGATTCTGGGGGTTTCTCAGATTTAGAACCCTGATTCTGGATCTCCAGGTTCTGTTATGGAATCTAAAATACCAAAGGGAAAACCCCCCCAAAACAAAGCCACTGCCATCGAGGTGATGCTGACTCACAGAGACCCTGCACTGCGGACGAGAACTGCCCTTTGGGTTTCCAAGGCTGTCCATCTTTACAGGAGCAGGAATCCTCATCTTTCTCCCTTGGAGCAACGGGTGGTTTCGAGCTGCTGACCTTTCAGTTAGCAGCCAACATATAACCACGACACCTACCAGGGCTCTGTGAGAACTGGCCTAACAGTGCTGCTTTCTGTGTTAGATGAGTTCTCTGAGCGACCTCAGAATGCTTCAGGGCCTGTGCTTAACAGTGCCAGGCAATGTTCCCAGGTGTCTTTACCTTGGCCAGTAACTCTCTGGGAAAGTATTTGGGGCTGACATCCTTTCCTTGCAGATCTATTGGATAAGGAGGTGGGTTGTTGGTCAGGATCAGTAAGGTCTTATCTTGGTCATACTCCATGACTTTTAAAATGAAACTTCTGATTTTCCTGTTTCGTTCCAGTAATCTGTTCCGGGCCGAAGGCTTCGAAGGCTCATAGAACCGGGCCTGTGGACAGAAGGTTTCCAGAGAGACAAAGGGATTCAGTCGAGAGAAGATGATGAACCTAGCAGTTGGCTAATCTTTGGCCTCTGTGTGGAAGGAACCCTGATGGTGTTGTGGGTTGTGCCTTGGACTGCTAACTGCAGGTAAGTAGTTCGAACCCACTAGCTGTTCCCACACACTGCCCTACATAGAGAGTAACTATGGTTTGGCAGAGACCAAATGGCGTATGTGTAGCTCTTTGTTTTGGCATGGTGTGGGGCTTGGTAGGGACAGAGGACAGTATGGACACAGCTTGCTCTGAAATTTGTTTCTATGAAAACATCTGAAGCCATCTGTCCCTCTTTCCCACAGATCATTCCTTACAAAGAGACTATGAGAATGGAGAAATACCATGGAAGGGTTTGGGGAATAAACCGAGCAAGATCACGTTGCTCTTCTGGAAAGGCATCACATGGCACCAGTGCAGTGGAGCAAATGGAAGTGGCAGAACTTTCCAGGTGGCTCAAAGGAGGCCTTCTCCAGAATGTTCTGAGGCAGAGTGGAAAATTACCAGGGACCAAATTTCCTTCTTCGGGGTATTCTTTGGGGCTAAGTCAAGTTTAACCTACAGCCTCCCACCCACCAAGATTCCCATGCCACATGACCACATTTGCACGCTAACTAGCCAAGCAAAGCAGGCACACGCCACTTCAGGTGGGGTGGGGGAAGGACGATACACTGAATTTGCTTTTCTGTCAACAAGAGGGAAGGAGGGGATGGCACACCCACCTCATGATAAATATGTTTTTCTCCATTTTTATTTTCTTCAGTTTCAGCTGCAGGGGCTACCCTCTTTCCGGGTTCCCCTCCCACCTCACTCCCACTCTTCCCAGAATGTCTCAGGACTGGTCCCAGAGCAGCAGCTCAGCTTCACACAGTTGCAGTGCCAGGGACACCAGATGTATGCCCCTGGCCCCCTGCACCATGCTGAAACTCTAAATGATATTAGGGAAACACGTTTCCACCTACCAAATGTGGATGGCCACTGTAATAATGAAGGTTCTTTAGAATAAATTTGGATTGCCCAGCACCATCAGGAATCTAGAGACAATAATCAGAATTAGTGGTTTCAAGTCCAGCTGTCTGGGACATTATCCTGTGGCTTGCCTCACCTGATCTCACTGAACACTGGTCTCTAACGTAGATGACAGAAGGGAGGCACTGGGCCTCGGGAAGGAGAGTCACACCCAGGGAGCTGGGTTCTGAGACATCCTTCCCAGGGTCATGACATGCCGGGTAAGGCGGCATCAAAGGGCAGTGGTACCAGGTTAAAGCCTACATGGAGGACATCCTTTAAGGGAAAAGCATGCTACAAAAGGGCAAGAGCTTTCAGGGCTTTGAGTGGCAGGTTGGCCTCCTGGCAACCCTGGCAGCTGACCTGGAAGCAAAATACAGCAGTTCACTTCGCATGTTTGGACAGCTCTGCAGTATATGATTCCTCCTGCCCCACCCACCCCCCGAAATGTTATAAAACTGAACTTTTGGTAATACTCTTTGTCTACCACTTTGAGCTTGAGTTACTGATGGATTCCTGGGCATGAGGGGTGTCATGCCTTGGGGTCAGGGATGCTGAGCCTCTTCTAGCTCCTGCTCCCCAGAACATGCCAGCATTCATGCCTAGCCTTTTGCTCAGCCTTAAGTTACCTAGGGAAGAAGCAAAGGATATCAACACAAGGAGCTCAAAGTTCCCAACTCTATTCTGTGGCCTTGGAATGATCAGGAATCAAAACGGAGGTGGGGAGTGCAGCCTATCTTCGGCTCATGACATCTAAAGGTCGTCCTGTCTCCAAGGACGTGGCATGGTGACCTGAACTCCAAGATGGGGTGCTAAAGACAGAATGTACAGTGAAAGGAAAAATAAGATTAGGTGAATGAAAACGAGGGGATGAGATAAGAATGAGACCGAATGAGGGGGCGGGGTGGGAAGGATAGTCCCAGTAGGGTCAGGAATTGGTGGTTCTTGAGGCTTGGGAGAAGACAAGAGACAATAGAGGAACGCCTCTATACACTCCTGGAGGGACGATGGCATGAGATATGGGGCCAATCTAAAGATGTAGTCCTTTGATTTTTAGTGCCTTTTAGTATCTGAGACAGGAAAGAAAGGAAAAATAAAAGATGCCGGAAGAGACTTTCTCTTAATCCTAGAGTAGCTAAAGCAAATGGAAGAAAGGCTAAAGGGATATTCAAAGAACCGAATAGAAATTTTCAAAGGGCAGCTCGAGAAGACAAAGCCAAATATTAGAATGAAGTGTGCAAAGACCTGGAGTTAGAAAAACAAAAAGAAAGAACACACGCAGCACATCTGAAACAGAAAGGACTAACAAAATAAAGTCAAGCCTTGAGTTACAATACTGAATGAGTCTATGGGCAAGATATTGAATGATGCAGGAAGCATCGAGAGAAGATGGAAAGTATATACTGAGTCTCTGTACCAAAAAGGACTAATCCACATGCCACCATTTCAAGAGGTACCATATGAGCAGGAACCAACGATGCTAAAGGAAGATGTCCAAGCTGCACTAAAAGCATCAGCCAAAAACAAGGCTCCAAGAATCGATGGAATTTCCAATTGAAATGTTTCAACAAGCTGATGGAGCACTGGAAGCAGTCACTCATCTATGCCAGGAAAGTTGGAAGATAATTTACTTGGCCAACTGATTGGAAGAGATCCATATTTATACCCATCCCAAAGAAAAACGACCCAACAGAATGCTTAAACTACAGAACAACATCACTGATATCTCATGCAAGTAAAATTTTGCTGAAGATCATCCAACAAGAGCTGCGGCAATACAATGACCGGGAACTGCCAGAGGTTCGGGCCACACTCAGAAGAGGATGTAGAACAAGGGACAGTATTGCTGATGTCAAATGGATCTTGGCTAAAGCAGAGAATACCGGGAAGGTGATTATTTGTGTTTTATTGGCTATGACCAGGCTGTCAATTGTGTGGATCTTAAACTACGGATAACCTTCCAAAGATTGGAAATTCAAGAACACTTCATTGTGTTCACAAAGAACTTGTACATGGATCAAGAGGCAGTTGTGTGTACAGAACAAGGGCATGATGCATGGTTTAAAATCAGGAAAAGTGTGTGATAGGGTTGTATCCTTTCACGATACTTAATCTGTGTGCTGAGCAAATCATCAGAGAAGCTGGATTATATGAAGAAAAGGGTGGCATCAAGATTGGAGGAAGGCTTATTAACAACCTGCAGTCTGCAGATGACACAACCTTGTCCGCTGAAAGTGAGGACTTGAAGCACTTGCAGATAAAGGTCAAGATTTCAGCCTTCAGTAGGGATTACACCTCAACATAAAAAAGACCCAAATCCTGACAACGGAACCAGTAGGTGACATCATGATCAATGGAGACAAAGTTGAAGTTGTCAAGGATTTTGTCTTGCTTGGATCCACCATCAGTGCTCATGGAAGCGGCAGTCAAGAGATCAAAGATGCATTGCATTAGGTAAATCTGCTACACAGGCCTCTTGAGCATATTGAAAAGCAAGGATGTTACTTTGAGAGCTAAAGTGCACCTGACCCAAGGCATGGTTATTTTCACTTGCCTCATTTGCATGTCGAAGTTGGACAATGAATAAGGAAGACTGAAGAACAATGCATTTGAATTGTGGTGCTGTTGAAGACTATTTAAAATTACACGGACTGCTCACAGGACAGACCGATCAGCTTGGAAGAAGTGTGACCAGAGTGCTCCTCAGAGGCGAGGATGGTAACTCGGAGACTCAGGACTCGCTGTCAGGAGCGGGCACTCTGCAGAAGGACGGCACGCGTGGCAAAGTAGGGACCACGGAGAAGAAGACCCTCGACGAGGTGAAGGGACACAGTGGCTGCGGCAGTGGGATCTGGCAGGGGAACTTCAGCTGTGCAGATCTTGCGGGACTGTGCAGCTAGTGTTCTATTCTTTCGTTCAGTCAGTATTTGATTCTTTTATATAGAGGGTCACTACGAGTTGTAATTACATGTTACCTAACAGGAGTAAAAGTATCTGAGATCTATTTGTAAAAACAAATATATATTATTAAAAGCCTGGTATATATATCCACAGCCAATGTAAGAAAGACCACTCTGGGGAAAGGGAATGAAGCATTTTCCTTTAATTATTTTTTCAGGGGCAAGATCTTGGGGAAAATGTTTTCACTCTTAGATTTTCCTAGGGATTGCACTTCTGCCCCAAATTAGTCTTCCCACAAGACTATCCAAACCGGAGTATGCTTTCAGTTTTGATAGGTTGAATCACATTATCTCTGGTGGGTCAAATATCTCTGGTTGGTCTGGAAAGTCCACTGGAATAGGATGAGCCAAGGAAAGCAGCCAAGATACCCAGGGGGGCTGTGCTGCAAGGGCGGGAAGCAAAGTCTCGGTGAGTTGGGGCTTAACACGCTCTGTCCCTTAAAGTAGGCTTCTAGTTCCTGCATTCTGTTGCTGGCAGGTCACTGTCTTTTCCATGCCTCTCTTTCCCTTTCACCTAACTAATAAATGCATCTTTTTTTCCGCTCACGACATCTTGACCCCTTCTTTTGCTTTCCAGAGAAGATGCGGAGACTCAGCTCATGAAAGGCTCCAAGCATCTCCCAAGAAACACAAGCAGCATTTGCTAATGTTCTTCCATCCTTACCTCCTCCTCACAGACAACCTTCTCCTGTTTCCTCGGTTTGTCTCCCGTTGTCTTTGATTGGCTCTCGGAATGCCTGAAAAAAAGAGGTCGCTCAGCCAGTTGCATCTTCTGATTAAGAAGCTGGACCTTCAGCGTGTTCTCAAACCATTCTCCCTCCCCTCGCCCCCAGCCAAGTTTGAAAAGCTGGCTGAACCCACTACCATCTAGTTGGAATGCACAACCCACCATTCACCCAGGGCTCCTTGAGGGCTGCCTTCGAAGAGGCCCCTTTAGGGACCCCTAATTCAGTGTGCACGATAGGTAACAAGTAGAACTCATCTAGCCTGCTCTCGAGGGGAAAGCAAAACTCCGATAGAACACATGGGATCTTTTTTTGAGACATAATGACAACTGATGAATTCATTTCTTCGTAAAAAGGGTTCATTCAGAGAAGTACTTTTCTGCCTACTCTTCCAAACATGAGAACAGCCCTGTCTTCGCAAATCATTTTAGCTTTCGTTCTTCCTGGAGAAGGGACCCTGATGGCACAGGGTTACCCACCAGTAATTCCCCAGGAGAAAGACGTGCCTGTTTATTCCCAGGCCAGTTCTACTCCCTCCTCTGGGGTCCCTGTGAGTCAGAATCGATTCCACAGCAGCAGCTTTGGCTTTGGGGAATTCTCTAGGAGGGGGCTCTGAGCACACCCCGGGTACAGGCTCACCAACTAACTGAAAGGTTGACTGTTTGAATCCATTCAGGGGCTTGGAAGGGGAGACGTCTGGAAGAGATCAGCCCAGGAAATGCCATGGGGGCGTTTCTACGCTGTCCCATTGGGACGGCATAAGCCTTGGGACTCAACAGCCCCTAACAACAGCAGCTCCTTTGAGAGAGGGACATGTGGAGCTTCACAACTAGATTGCCAAGTTGTCCTGACCATGCTTGTATGAATGGTTCCTTGTCTTCCTAAAGGAGCCCTGGTGACGTAGTGGTTACTAGTTGGGCTGCTAACCACAAGGTTAGTGGTTTGAAACCACCAGCTCCACACATACCCCCCCCCAAGGGAAAAACACAGGCCTTTCTGTTCCTGTAAAGAATTACAGCTCGGAAACCCACAGGGGCAGTTCTACCCTGTCCTGTAGGGTCATGATGAATCAGAAATGACTCAATGGCAGTATCTGATTTGTCTTCCTGCCCACACTTAACAATTTTCTCTCCCTAGGACTAGAATATTAAAAAGCATCTCAACGGCAAACATTTCCCTCCTCAGCTCTTCCACTCACGTACCCATCTCCCCACCCACGTACCAGTTCCTTTTGGAGAGACAAGAGCGGGAGGGGCAGAAGTCACAATATTTAACCACAAAGTATTTTTGATTCACAGATTCTATGAAATCCATTTACTGCCTGAACATAGAGAAAGGCAT